CCTCCACTCGCTCTGACCCAACCCAAATCCAGTTGAGTCACTAGCTCTTAATACTCATCTCCCTGCTCTTTATTCCAATTTCGTCTCCCTCCAGAAGGTTCTGCGCGACTCGCAAATGTGAATACAACTGAAAGGTGACAAATACCAAGGTTCCCAGTGTACAGCCTTGATTTGTGGAGGACAACCAAATCACTCCACTTGAAGTGGCGGGTCAGAGGTGTCTCAGCCCTTCGTTCCCGGGTAGGAGACCCCAGGCGCCTCACACGGAGCTTTTCCCTGTTGCCCCACTCCGCTGCTAGTCTCCACTCAACACACACTCGTCCTCCGGGCCGAAATCCTGGGTTCCGGGTGTCTTGCCTCTGTTAGCCCTTCATCCCGCCAACTGCCCGAGCCGAGCCTCCGCCCCCTTCGTGATCTGAGAAGCTCAGAATCTCCCACCGCTAGGTCTTCGCCCAGTCTCTCCCCTCCTCCTCAACCCCTCTCCCCTGACGGGCGGGCCCTGTCCGGCTGCCCTTCCTCACCCTTTCATCTTCCCTGCCTGCTGAGGCCGTTGTTACCACCGATATCAACGCCGTTGTCGTCGCCGCCCTGAGCTCTCAGCGACCTGAGCTCAGGCCACTCAACCTCACAAGCCGGCCTCCCCACCTAGGGCAGGGAGCTGAGCGGGTGACGGAGGCCACGAGAGTGGAGCGCGGCCCTGCGTCTCCGGAGGGGGCGGGAGTCTCTCCCGCCGCCGCACTGGTGCCGCCGCTTCTGCACACGTGCACACGGGGCACTTCGCTCCTGCCCGCCACCGCCAGCCAGACCCGCCGCCGCACTGTGACCTTTCACCCCGCCCCCTCTGCGCGCCGGCGCGTCGGCCGCCTCGCGCGCAGCCGCATTGCTGGCCTCCGCGCACCCTTCCCCCTCCACTTCAAGACCTCCATTTTTCTACGGGGCTGTGTCTTCTGGCGTCATCTTCCTCCTCCTACCCCTTACGACACTACTTGTGGGGCTGGCTCGGTAGGCCTTGGCGGTAAAATCTGGACTTTTCTGTCCCTCCCTCACCTCTCCTACGTCAGTAAGGTCAATCTTCTGTGACTCTGTACTTTCCAGTTGGTAGTCTCCCTAATGACCTTCAAACGCTCCTATCTAACAAGATTTTATAAAGTTGGTTCTTCTAAATGTAAAGTCTGTGGAAAACTCAGTAAAAGGTATTTTTAAGACAAACGTAATTAACAATTGCCCGGATTGCTTGGCTTTCGCCCAGCATGCTTCAAGTTTTGAGATCACGTGATTGCCCCAAACTAAGCTTGGGATTTTACCGGCGGGCGCCAGAGAGACGGAACTCCATCGCCATTTCCGGTCCCTAGATCATGGCGTGAACGTCACTTCCTCACCAGTGCACTTTAACCCGTTCTGCCCACGCTTCCTGCGTCGTACTTCACAACATAATCTTTACGAAAGTTTTTTTTCTTAAAATTTATCGCAACAAAATCAGTGTTCAAACAATCCGTAAAAATGCAGGCCTCCAAGATGTAGTGCACCCGGCTAGCGACGTCAGGGCGGAGCTCAAGGTCACATGACTACGTAGACCCGCCCCCCACCCCCTCTGCAGCTGAAGGCTTCCCCTCCGTCAGTGACAGAGCCTTCGGGTGCGTGATCACTTGTGGTTCTGCACCTCGCGCGTTGGCAGGTGAGCGGCGACCAGTAACCGGCGGCTGGTGGGGATAATAGAAGGGATGGGAGGAGGAAAATAGGGAGAGTGAATGGCGGCCTTCGCTGTACCGAGCTTCCTACCCACTGTCATCCAGCAAGGAGCTCATTTCTCCAGTTCTCCTGATCTCCGCTCCCCCCAACTAAATCCTACCCGCTCCCCCCCGCACCCAATCCAGCATCCTGGGGGTTGAGATGTCTACTTTTCTCGGGGTTGGGGGTGAGTGCAGCCATTATGGTTCCCTTTTCAGAGTCTTTAGGGCTTCGGGTAGTGGGATTGGTTCAGCCATTACTTGGGGTCTGCAATAACCTCCAGATCCCAATCCCAAAGCCCATTCTTTGGCAGAGGTCCTGCACCATCTTTACCTTCAGCTTGGGGCTGGGGAGCGGGAAGGTAAAAACCCTGGAGGCAGAGGCGTCTCCGGTGAGACTGGCTTGGGAAAGAATGACACTCACGTCGCCTTCACTGCGGAGTCACTGTAAAGCCTGCTTCCGAACGTGCTTTCTCAGTAATTCTGATTTTTTATCTGCTATTCTTGCGGGAGACGTTCTATAGGTGTTCACATGCTTTGGATAGGACTGGAAAGGTGAAAGCAGGCCTTTTACCTTTCTTTTCTCTGATTTTATGTGCAAGAAGAGAGAGAATAGTTGAGAGAATAAAGATGTACTAGCTTCAAAACAGGAGGTGTTAATACGACAGTCTCGGTTGAATGGGGAGGCGTTGAAAGATGGTGTTGCAGTGTGGTGGTCTGCAGGAGAACCAAGCTAGCTTATGGGAAAATGATGAGGTTTCATTGAAAGGGAACTAATTCTTTAGAAACTAATTGGGCTGGAATATAATTAAATCGAGTGTGTTTGACCGTAAACTTAAAGGAGGTTAAGTCGAAATATTGCTGACTTCATATTTTATGGCTTTGACATCCTCGTTTGCCATTTCTCCCTAAAATCCTACTCGATTGCCACTCCCAATCAATTCCTTGAGCAGTGGTAAATTTATTTTAAGTAGCACTTGTGTCCCTCCTTAGCTTTCCCCATTTGTAAAACTCTAGGTGACCTCTTCAGATTTTGATGAATAGTATTTTGTGAAAATACAGAATTATTTTGCTTAGGTTTTTTCCAGCCCATTGTACTGCTGTTTCATTGGCAATGTAGTAACCAATGTTTTGACCCCAAACAATGTGCTTTAGGGAAGAATGTTTTTCAGTTTGGTGTTTAAACTCTTTTATTTATACTGAAAACTTAGGAAGTCTCTTGGTTTTTTTAATTGAAAGTCCTGACATAAATTACGAAATTGATTTTAAAATGTAAATTTTTAACCTGAAAAATCATATTCTTGGTTAAATCTTTGTATTCTAACCAATGTAATTGAATCCATTAAAAAGACGGCTGAAAAGTGAGAAAGTTGGAATCGTTATTTTTGAGTGTTGGATGTTACTTTTTGTTTTGTTTTTCTGTATCTTCCAAATTCTCCACGATAAGCTGGTCTTATTTTGTTAAGAGAAACAAAAAATTAAATTCTAGAATAATAGCAATTTAGCAAAACTTCCCTTCCCACAGTGACAGTCTACCAAATTAGACAAATTCCTTATTTGTCCTAGAGGTTAAAACCAGTCCTGTCTGGGTGAGACGAAAATGGGAAAGAGAAAACCAACTAAAAAGCAATGAGTACTAGGGGTGGAAATGTTAGTATGAAAGAGATTGAATGACTTTGCAGTTTTACTTCACAATTCTCCAATTTTAGAGAACTTATGAAAGCAATAACTTAGACCACTAACGGAATTTGAAAGATTAGTAGCAGTAATTGGTGACTAAATTGCTATTAAAGTTGAATATTAAAAAAAAATAATAAAAAGCTTTGACATACATACAGTTTACACACACAAGTAATTTGAAGTTTGGAAGCCATTTCTTAGACTAGCTTTATCAGTTGATGAATATTACATGTAGAAATCTTAACATTCATTAGGGAATTTTGTTGTAGTTCAGTATTAAATGACACACAGGATTTTTGTGTTAGGGTCACTGACATCTCTTGTGTGCATAGTCTGAGGGGTTTTTTTTTTTCTTATATTCCATTGCCTTTATAGGTTATTGCCACCACCAAGAATGCTT